CCAGCGTGCACCAAGCATGTTTTATGTCGATGCGCATGCGCGTATCAGTTACCTGAAAGGCCTGATGAAGATGGAATATTTCGGCAAACAACTCGTGGACACGACCGGCTACAACCTGAGCGTTGTGCTGGACACAGGTTTCGAGTTCGCACAGGAAACGGTAGAATCAACCGTATATGTTGGCTGTATTCTAACAGCGAGACTTAAGGTCTCGGCTACATCTGGCCTTACGACAAAGGTTTACCACAAGCGGCCCACTCGCACAATTGTCCAAATGTTGATGTCCCTTTCCGCAAAGTAGCCCTCGTTCTATCCAACGACGTACAACATCTGGATACAACTTGCGGCAGAACACTGTCCAAACACATTTCAGGAAGCTCGGTCACGAATATGCGGAAGCGCGCGTGTCTTGCCTTTCTGCTGAAGCAGAATGTCGGCTATGCCTTACAGAATGTCCGCGCGATACCTTACTAGGCTGTGAGCCCACGCGTGATTGCGCACCAGTGCATCATACTGCGTCTTCTGCGTCCATCATGCATCATGCATCATCCTGCGTCTTCCATATGTCACCAGATTTCATCCATATTCACCACTTGACTTCCAGCATAACAACCGCTAAAGCGATGTGAACAATCCCACGATGGGAAATATCGAATATGGAATATATTATGTCGATTGGCAGGAATGCCATTGGCGAACAGTACTCACAGCTGCTCGCCCAGCTCCTCCTCCCAGGCGCCGTTCCGACCAATCACGTCCCGGGCCAGGCTGAGCGCCGTGTTTGGTTGGTCGAGGTTCAGGTAGCACGTGACCAGGCCCTTGTATCCGGTCAACTCACTTCCTGCCGGCAGCACAGAGGGTCGCAAAGTCACGCAGGGCCGAGCACACACAAATCCAATGCTCCAGCCTGAGGTCACGACCTTGACCTACGTGCGGGACGCCAGCCAGGCAGGTACTCTAGTGCGGACATAAAATTGCAAAAAGTGTCCGTTTTCAGAGGCTTTGTGGCGAGAATTAATTATTATAGAATGTTTCCATACCTTTGTCTCCGGAATATGCGAAGTTAAGGCTACAACGACGCCATAAAACATCATTGTCCCATGTCATTATGCACTGATCACGGCAGGCTAGATCAGACTTCACCACAATCCACTCCAATAACTATGCCATACTGCGTCTTCCAATGTCACACCACGCTTCAAGGCATGCTGCATTTGACATGATATATCACGCCAAGCTGAGACGTGACAGATTGATACAGACTACGCTTGGAAATACTCGTGTGGTTACGGGCTGGAACGGAACGGTTTTGAGCTTGTAAAATAGCGGATTCGTAGTGACTGGTTGCAAATTGGTGGAATAGACACCACTCGACACTGAAAATTTAATCCACAAAAAGCCCCACTCATGGTCATTCCAACACCAAATTCACGAGTACTTAAAGCCGCGTTACATTTGACGAGGAGCCACGAAAGACTAACGACGACTCTACACAGCCGTTCTCACGCATGCGGCGCTGTTTCGACGGGAGTTGGACGCTGTGCGTACTACAACTGCGTCGTCTCGCCCTCTGACCTCACGCGTGCACTCAAATGCTGCTGTAGTCCGCCGCGCCCTCACAGACTCTTATCTAGATGTTAATCGCAGCACCCGTCATAGCCCATGCACAGAGGCTGGCTAAAACCCTTCTCGCCAGTTTTCCTAAAAAAAAATAATTTGAAAATTAATAAAAAAAGCTTTAAAAGCACCACTTACCCAGGACATATGGCACGTTCACTTTCGTTTGAGGGGTTAGAACGACAGCTACTGGCCGCCATCTTTGGCTGACGGCCAGGATATCGGTTAGGATAACGTGCCATTCAGTCACATCAGCCACTAACCCAGCCAAAGTCGTCAAATGCGCTCAGCAAGCTCGCCACCTTGGCCTAAGCACTCTCTGCGGTGCTATCTGACCCGGCGTAAAATATCAGATACAAGATCCAAGATAAGGCACGAACCGCCCAGATGACACCAAAACACTGCAGAGCAGTCAAGTAGGCTGACGGTTTTCCTGGAGCGCCGGCCGCTTGGATGCCGACAATGATTACTTTCCGCACGACACTACACCGCATTAGGGTCAATGAGGAAGCTTTGGCGGTGAATGGGCATCACAGCACGAAGTTTGTCCATTTCTCGAGCCTCTCCCTAACTGCTGCCGAGCAGTGTGGACCTTCAGGACACGCGACTCAACTTGACACAAAGTGACAGCTGAAACGGTTGCCAAGCTATTCGCCAATGCCTGGCGAACAGTTGGAAAAATCAATACAAACTCGAGCCCAGGTTGACACCAAGTCACCGTACTACAGATCTCACAAGCAAACCAACTTTCGGTGACGCACGCAAAGCCAGTGAGTATCGGAGGACGTGCAGGAACACGAACCCCTAATCAGCTCTTGGCAGGGATAGCACTATTGGTCAATCATAACAATTCTTCAGCAACAGAAATGACGGAGAACAGCTTTCTGGCACATATAGTGACGTCAACAGGACCAGCCAGGTGCCATGACCAAAAGCGGGTATGGATTGTCGCCTTAGGCTCACGTTACGACTGATTCTGCTCTTAATCTAATCGCGTTCTTCCGAAACAAGCACGTAAACGAAGCTCACACAACAACGCACGGTTGCACCGCCAGTGGCATTCAATAGAAGTCCAATTGCCTCCTGCCAACCAGTCAACAACTGCCAACCAGTCAACAACCTAAGTAACTTCACGCTTCGCCAGTCGACATAAGACACACACGTTTTTGACGAAGTCGACGACACTCCACGCTCGCCCCGCATAACGCCACGTTCCGTGGAATACGTCGTTCCGTGGAATAGGTCGTTTCGTGGAATAGGTCGTTCCGTGGAATTGGTGACGAACCGGACGTACTCCGCCCGCCTGGCGGGCAGCGGTAAATCCTCTGCTGGCTGACCATTCTCGCGTAAACGCACGCGACAGCAGGGCAACAGAGAACACCGCAGTCAATCAGCCGTGGTCGCCGCGGGCTTGCTAGTCAGCGACGCAGAACAATGTTAGCAGCGCATTGCCATCTCGGCTACAAACGACGGTGAGCTAAATTGCAATGCCACCTCGGCTACAAACGACGGTGAGCTAAATTGGCGGAAACCTTCTGAAAGCTGGGGAAACCTTCTCACCCGGCCCCCGCAGTTGTCAAGACCGGCGTTCCAGGGCTGTTGGTAACATTACATGTATTGATCTCCGGTACTTTAAGGGCTCCGACAAGTCATGATCAAAACCCTTGGAACTATCTTGGAAAAGTGAATTTCAGCAAAGCTTTAAATGCTTCGATGACAGAAAACCTGCAGCCATTAGAGACGCGTTAGTCTGAATAATACATGTCCACCTTGAAGAAGATGCTCCTCTTGTTACAGCACCTGTACAGCTCAAACCTTTTACAGCAAGCTTTGGTGGGTGTTAAGCATCAACAAGCATAGCATCAACAGCACGCGTCGTGAAGAAAATGACACCATATCGGTAACGATACTTTCACTGTGTTTTTAACCGAAGCCTGACAGTCGGCGGCACACGCCTGAGTGACGCTTGAGTGAAATTGCAGAGACAAAGTATGGCTGATAATTGTCTTCCATTGGCGAAGGACCCAGCCGCTGTCTCTAAACCTCAAAGGTCGTCCTCTAGCGTCCCACCGCTTCTGTTTTGTCGAGCTTTTTATGGCGACAAAACGAAGCACCACAACCTCCTGCAACATAACGCAGCCTCCAGCGCCTGAAGCCCCGTCTGCCGTTGCCGGGGGAAGGGAGGAGGGGGTTAAAGGTGAGCCAGCACAGTTGCCCCGGGGCGCGGCGCCCACCATGTCCGGTCGCCAACACCAGGGTCGATACAAGCACGCCTTGCCCTACTGTGTAATCGCCGGGGGAGATCGATGCCATCGTCTGTGTCGCTGGACGATGCGCAGTGGCGCGCACAGGAGCGGCGAGCGGGGGGAGGCGGGGGAGGATGATGCTTCTAAGGCGCAAAAGTGTGATTCATGATGTCAATGGTCCACGCGGAGCCGGTACCAGGCTTTCCGCCACACGCCAATGAAATTATTGGTTGTGAGTTCGATGATCCATCTTATTGTCCATACCATGATGGAGAACCACCGCGCGGTCTCATTAAGTGTTCAGTCCAAGCGGGGGAAGCCTGCTGAGTCGGCCTTTGCCGACTTCTTCGGCCAACTACACCAAACGCATTAGGACAGAGTGATCTAGTCCAAACCAGTCTGATACGAAATCCGCCTGATGCAACGAGATGCGAGTCAAGCATCGACTCCATCGGCGGCACCTCGTGACCTTAATGAGCCGGTGTACACACAGCAAACCGGAGACAGAACCACAGCATTAGGGACGGGAACCCCGGCAATTATTGTGCACTTGGCAAAAGACAGAACGCCACAAAACGCGTGGATCTTTCTGAGTGAAAAAAAGGGATACCACATCACAAGATCCATAAAACCGTCAGGATATTTTTGGCAATATTTTCCCAATGCCTTCCCTCCGGAAATAAAGCACTTCCGAAGGAAGAGAGCCCACCCACTTATCCCTGCAATTTCCCACAGCTCACTACGAGCTTGACTTCCTTTTTCAAGTGAGGCCACCTTCGATCCACTCCCCCCCCCCTCTTGCCACAGCTCTTACCTATTTCTACCGAATTTCTGGCGCCTTTATCCCTGAATACCAGTCGCAGCAGCTAAGGCATGTCCACTACCTTTGCCACAGCCCCGTCAACGGTACCCACGTCGCTGCCGTCTACGAACTCGTGACTCATTCCCATCACTTGTCCCATCTAAGTCCATCCCTAGTCACTCGTCCGAGTCCCATCACTAACCGAACCCAGGTCATCCCGTCAGCCCAGAGGACGTCATCCCCCCAGGTGAGACGACCTGGCGCCGCCCCTGCCGCGGCGCCGCCGACCCTCGCATTGGGCCGCCGCCGCGGTCAGTCGCGTCCCACAGCCGGCGGCGGCAGCGCGCAGCCGGTCCTGGTCCAAGGAGGCTCACTTGGTGCAGGCTTGACAGTGAGCTCCGCGAGGGAACACGTCTGCATCAGGAGCGAGCACTGTCGGCTGCTTGGCCAAGGTTAACAGGTGACAAGCTCCTCGATTGTTTGACTTTGACGAACAAGGAAATCGCGTCAAAGACCGTAGCACCATCCAAGTTCCTTCGAAAAGCCTTCACGAGACTGGGAATTCGGACCGACAATCGTACCCGTGCCACGACGGAGCTGATCACGCACGCTCCCAGCGACGTCATTATCGCCAGCACGTGTGACGTCATCACCACGACGATGGCCGTGGACACGTCGCCGCCCGCAGGCGGCTCACGGACCGAGCCACTACCGCTCGACCCCGCCAAGCTGACGCAGGCCTACCGGCACTCGGCCGCAGTCACAGTTCCCGAGGTGGCCACTGGGCGGCGCTCGCCTCTGGCCGGCCACAACATGCCGCCGATCGAGCGGCTGCCGTCAAAGTTCGCCATGCGTCGCGACGTGCAGCGACTGGTGCGAGACGAGGCGGAGTGCGGCCGGCAGCGCCCGCCCACCCCCGCTCGGCCGAGTCTGCCGCAACTGGACGCCTCGATGGGCGCGTCCGTGTGGTCGACCGGGGCATGTCAGCGAGGCTGCAGGTCAAGGTCGGAGCCGCGCACAACCGGCCGCGAGAACCAGGACGAGATTGACCAGGTGAGCCCCGCATACACAGCGCATGTTAATGGGGGCAAAAATGCCAGATGATTTTCCAAAATGCCGGGATGTACGAAACTTATGTACTGTTGAATTCCTTTGTTTTTTCGGGCATTATTTCATCCAAATGAAAAACAAAAAACAACGTAACTTTGCAATATTTACATCACAGGCCACTCAACGACGGGCACGCCCACCAATAAAAATTACGTGGTCCAAGTGATCAAAGTGCCCAACAAAATCTCTCAACCATTCGACCATTTTTCGGTGAACCAGCGACAGTACAGCAACACGGCTTCCTCTAACCGCGCTCTCCGCTGGCACAGACCGCAGACCTGCTGGACGTGAGCGTGCGCAGCGACGGCGGCGGCTGGCGGTCAGTGCGGGCTCGGGTGTCGCGAGACGACAGCCACGCCGTGGCGTCTGCGGGAACGACACGGCCGGCCGCCGGCGTCACACTGCCACCTATCGGCGTCTCCGGGAAGCACACGCCGGTACAGCGTATGACCCGGCAGGAGACGCAGCGGCTGCTGGCGCAGGCCAAGATCAACCTGCAGGCCATGGAGGCGGCCAAGGCGCTGCCGACGGCCGCCACCTCGGCAGTGACGTCATCGGGACCGTAAAGTGACGTCACGCTACGGGAAACAAGGACAACGGGCGTGGAACGGTGCCGGGGGGGGGGGGGGGGGTTGTGATCCGTCGAGGTCGGGTGTTTCGACAGGGGCGGTATGTCGTGCTGTATGCGGCGTCCTGGAGTACTACGGAGTGCGATCCGCGCTAGCTGGTGAAGGCCAGGAAGGAACAACACACCCGCGGCAAAACAGAGTGGCGACCAAACCGCCCCGATCCGTCCACGCACGCCACGTCCACTTACACCGGTCAAGCCGAAGCCGGCAATCGTTCCTGAAGCTGGTGATCGTTCCTGCTTCACAGATAGCTGTCCTGTGCGCCAAAAGGACAAGCTTGGGTTCACAGCGTTTTACGGCGGCGAGCGACGCCTCCCTGGGCTATCCCTGCCAGTTGGAACACACTTGCAGACTTCGAGCAGGAAGTTTAGCTTCACTGTCGGGTGCCGGAGACATTTTCCGCGTGCATCGGGACATTTGCTGCGTGCTTGTCAGCCGCGCGTGTGCTACCGCAGGAGGACCTGAGAGGGTGGGGGCATGGTGACGTGGGAGGGTGAGAGCACGGGGACGTGGGCGGGTGAGAGCATGGCGACGTGGGAGGGTGAGAGCAGGGCGACGTGGGAGGGTAAGAGCATGTGAACGTGGGAGGGTGAGAGTGTCTATGTCGGCGGGCGCACCAAAAGCGACAGACGGACGAACGCGGCCCGAGATGCGTGCTGGGAAGTGGCAGACGGCACCTCCTCGAGGGCTGAAGTCAAGCGGAATTATATCGAGACAGATGCTATGTGATAGTGAAGCAGCCTGGTGCTAGGACAATCGTTCGCTGCTACGTCAGCGATTCCCAGGCATATCTCTGAGTCGTTCGGTCACTGCAGTTCAGTGACGTTTTCCTTGGCCGAACAGCCACCGCGAGAACTGTCAGACGTCGCCGTGTGTCCTTCTTCAATGGGTATGTCTTGAGTACTTTCGCCTACGTCAGCCCTTAACAACACGGGGCAGCACTACAATATTCTCCCCCGTCGTGTTCTTCGGTGGTAATCATGCTCAGATTGCTCGGTAAGACAATCCTACAGTGCCGGCGGCGGCGCAGCGAGACCGGAAGCGTACTGTTCACGTTGTCTGTTCAAATGTGTATATATATATACGCCTGAGACGGGTCGTCCTAAGGCAATTGTGCTGCATTCAGAAATATAAATTATTCCGAAGTTGCGCTGCGTTCAGGCTAACAGCGGTAGCGGATGGGGTGGAAAGAACTGTCCAACGCCACACTGCCGTAACATCTGCACTTCATGACGTAACAGTGTTGAAAGCCCCTTGCAGGGGTGCTTCTTTTCAGGAGTGCTGGACATGTTGAAGTTCGGCGTTGAAATGCGGCACTTATTCTACGGAGATGTCAGCAAGCACTTTAATTGGAATCTTCCTTCCATTTCACAATCTTATACACGCCAGTCAGCCAGGTGCTCAGCAGAAGTTGTGAGAAAACAAATTTGACGCTATTTGATGTCCTACCGAGTTGCCAATGTCAGTTTTCGAGGGCTTTGGCAAAGACTGACGAAAATGTCATAACAGAATAAGAACAAGATCTAAAATTACCAGCCAATTTCGCTCAAGAAGCAGCAGGCCATAAAGGGGACATGATATACTGGGACATGCTGACATGAAAGTGTGCACCACGTGATTTGTGACCCAACCCAAGCTATGTAGAGCTCTGTGATAGAGCTTCCAAACCGCTGCGCTGCAGAAACAGCTTCAAATTACACCGAGCAGTAAGAAGTACTCGTAATTAGCAGAACTGACAATCGCGAAGAGCCAGATCTGTGATCATATTTAATATAAATCAATTAATGCTTTATGAATCACATAATTTTTGGATAAGTTGCAAGCGAATCGACTTTTTCGTATAAAATCAAATTTGAATCATAAATCCCCTCATGACTCTCCCAAATAGTTTATCTGAATCGAGCAAAGGCAACGTGGAGCCCAAATGAATCGATTCAATAATTTCTTCAAAAATCATTCAACAACAAGCGTCATCAATACAGCACAAAATCACTATACATTAACTGTGAATACATGATTTGCCATTTAAAACACACAACAGTCAGCATAAACACGTTGAATATAGGACCAGTCCATGCTGAATCGATTCACGCGCTAAGATCATTATTTGAATCGGACCTGAAACATTGAGCTGGAATGTGAATCGACGAAGAACCGATTCAGGACAAAAAACCATGGTCTAAATCAAATCTGTATCGTAGATCAAGGGTAATAAATCCCTGGTCAATCAACCTTAAATTCGACCTAAATTTTAATCGAAAACAGGCCTCCAAACAACAAATTCACCAGCGAACATCAGCCCAGAGCAGGCTGCCGCGGTGCACTGCTGTCGCGGTGCACAGCCGCGGTGCACTGCTGCCGCGGTGCACTGCCCCAGTGCACTTCAATACAATGCAGGCATCCACACTTTTCAGTCCTCCACATTGGACGCGTTTGTGAGTGTCATGCATCTATGGCGGGATTATTTCCTTGGAGAATCCATTGGTTTCGACACATCTACGCCCGGCATGTGTATCCCCGATAAAAAAAAAAAACGGTCGCATTCGCACGAAGGAGGAGGCCGTGACAGCCCGGGCTTAGGGCGTGTTTTCACGGTGCCCGTTTTCCAACTCGTTCACACTGCAGTCGATACGCATAAAAACACGGCCGTTCCTGTGACAAACATCGTAACGACTTCTAAGCAGTAACGGAGCAACAGCGCATCTAGGTCGCAGCCAGTTACTCTGTTACATAAGCACCAGCACGTGTTTATCAACCCCAACCACGCGCCAAAAAGCCTCCCGCCCCCAGACCAGGCACACGAAGCAGCTTTATGCCCCTCCCCCTCAGCGGCGACCCTGGCGGCGCCTCTGCGCACGTGTTTGCCGTACTGCCCGGCGTGCGGCCGGCGGTGCCGCCATCACTTATGCACGTGATGGTAAATAACGGAGCACAGGCACACACGCAACCAGATCGGCTTTCAATAAGGCTACACGTTTACACGGGCCCGGCTGGGCACCGACGGTCAGACCCTACCACGCGGGGTACGGGTACCGTACACGGTACATGGGGCAGCATGTGGTGACCAGGACGGTACCGGCAGTGAAGACAAACCAGCACGCCGCGCTAAGCCGTCCACTGACACCTTCAAACGAATGGTCATGAAGATCTCACGGCGAAACTAACTACTGGCGAGGGCCGGCCGGCCGGCTGGCGGAAAGCAAAAAAACAAACAAAACTAAATGCAAGTGGGCAGAAGGATTTATGAGCACGGATGGAACGGAGCGGAAGACGGCTGGTGCTGCAACTAATCTAAACAAATCTAATCAGAATATAATCAATCTGAACACACAATCAATCTAACAAAACATTCTAATCAATCTATCCAACCAAAACATATAATCAAAAGGGCAATCTAAAAACAACATTAACGTTGATCAGTTACAAGGAAACAAACACGTGGCAACTTACGCCGCATAACTATTTTCCGACTCCGAAAAACTGAATGAGGTACAATCAGCGCAAAACGACCCTGCGTGATTCTAAAGTAGGTTAACGGCTTAAATATACCCGGCTGAACAACGAAAAGTAGCGCTCACCCGATGGTGACCGCCGCAATCAGCTGACTTCCAGCCGAGCAGGCCATCGACCTCCTACCGGGTTCGTGACAACACCACGCTGAACCAGAACGTTTGACATACTCAAATATACGGGCTCCTCGGTCCACTTTGTGCCTTCCAAAGCAATCTCAACATCGCCGCACGGCGTCAGACGTTCAGAAACATCTCAGTCCACTTATGTTGAGTGCTATGGCGTGGGTTTAGTAATCCGCGCAAAGTGCGGCAAATGTGGCGCACTGCCACAGCGTGAATGGTGTGGCGGTGACACGGAAAATGTGGCGCAGTGCCGAATGTCGTCAGCATTAAGACCGCATCAATACTGCCGGTCCGCAACATCCGGGTCCCTTGCAGGCCCGAGCGAGGCGGCAACAATGGTTCTGCGAAGTTCAGTTATAGCACGGGAAGCACACGATCGCAAATCTGGCCTGCGGCGAAGACCGCCGCCAGCCTACAGACTGATGTAGGCCGTTTATAAAGTCTCGACCTTCACTATGAAGCCAATTTTTCACTGCAATGACGCACACGGCGGGGGACCACAGGCTTCGCGCACTTAAGCTGCGCCTCCACTGAAGCAATTGCCTGCATACTGACCGACGAAACAGCTGAGCGGCTCCAAGTGAATGTCAGCGATGGCGAATTTACTGGCCTCATTTCTGTAAACGGCTGAGGCGAGCGGCCATTTTAAGAAAGTGGTCGATAATTGGACGGTCCGCAAGCCAAGGACTGAAACTAAGACCAGGGCGAGTGACAACCACCCGAGTCCCGACTGAAGTCTGAAAGACTACTCCAGTTGGCAACTCCATTACCGCACCGTTCAATGGTGGGACAAAAACAACAATTCGAGACCGATTCAAAGCATCGACGTCGAATACCACACGACGTAAAACCACACATTGCCGATCATCTTTCAAGTGGTTTCGGGGAATCGTCCGGATTTCGGGAAATCCCAGCTTTTCCGCCGCGATTTCCCTCCAAATTTTCCGCCTCGTCGGCCAGTGAAGAATAGCTGAAGCTGAACACACCGCGCTCCGTGCCGGTTCCAGTGACGCAACATCGCACGCTTCAAGAAAGAAAGCTAATTACTGATGAAAGTGTGCCTACCTGGCCCCAAAATATAGATCAACACGAACGTTGAAAGGGTCTCATGCAAGTACTTCGACACGGGCCAACATTGAGCGCGACAAAGGTGATGTAGAAACGACGGAACGCGACGTGGAAACGGCGAGCATGCAAGACTCCAACCTGAAACAGTCGGTACACTGCAGGGGAAGGGTAATCCCCCACAACGGCGTGACGTGGCCGCTCCCAACAAACAACACACCGCAAGCCAACTTGGCAACGAGGGTAGCTTTTTGCCATACATGCCTGCTAACAGTGTTTGC